GATCCAAAGCAGAGTTCTCTACCACTTGAGCTAGAAGAGTATCTCGTAGCAGTAATATTGTGATCCTCTATGTGGACCAGCCATATAAGGGTGAATCAGACACTTTGCCTGTGGGTTTTACAGCTATTTACTGACAGCAGATGAATGTAGAGGCACAGGACTACTGGGTTCAATTTCAGGTTCTGATGGAGAGTATGTGCTTTAGTGTTGTTAGGCTCTGCTATGAGGCAAAAGGGTCTGTCGCTGTCTGCTCCGATCAATCCCACTTCCACCTATGAGCTTCTTCCCTCACCTTGTGACATTCTCTTCCCACACCATTTCTTACTACGTTGCGTTTAAGGCAGGTTGCTTCCGCCTTATCCTCGCAACCTGTGTGACAGCAGGGGGAGCATTGAGAGCACAAAAGAGGCAGTCTCCCTGCTTTCAGTTCTGGTGCCAACCACCTAGTGGCCCACAGCAACCAGGAAGAACTATTGTGGGAAAAATCCTACTCAGCCCCTATATCTCTCGCATTCAGCATGCTTTTTACAGACAGAAGGTATTCAAAGGTTTATATCTTGATCATATGTGGAATTTTGGTAGGAACAGCAAAAGGCACATCCCTGACACTACGGCCACCCCTCTGCCAAATTTTAAGCTCTTGCTCCAAAGCGTCTCAATAAAATGGCTATAAGAATTTTTTGGTGAGAGCAGTAAAACATTTTTCACTGTTCTTGTAAACTTTGAGCGAAGACTTGCAAAACAATACGTTCAACGTGAGGCGGATACCCAGCATGTAAACATTTAGTGTGAATTGTTAAAGTTATGAGAAACTGAAAGCAGGGTGTTACCATGGAGAGGTTTCAGAGTAGCAGCCGTGTTAGTCTGTATCCGCAAAAAGAACGCTCACGCTCAAATACATCTGTTAGTGCCTACGGTGCCACAAGTCCTCCTGTTCTTTTTTTAATGGAAATGTTGGACATCCCTAACCATAGGCAGCACTATCACTCCTGCGTATAAAGACCCTGCAGTATATTTTAAGGCCCCAATACCGCAAAGACTTACCGGCAATGCTTAACTTTAAGCACTCCACGGAGTCCAAGACACTGCTCAAAAAGGGGACTGGGCCTTAAAGTGTATTGCAATATAATTATAGAATAATCAAAACTGAACACATGCTCAGAACTGTCAAGTGACATTCCAAAGGTTCTTAACCTGGCAGAATTGTTCAGCATTATATGAACTAGAAAAAACTGCAACGGGTATTTGAATGTTTACATTCAGTAAGAGAATTAGATGGCTATAGCTGCATTTTGGGACAATTGTAATTAAAGTTATAACTAATGAGCTTGGAAAACGAACTACATATAAAGAGCTATCATTCATAAACCTTAGAAATGGTGGAAATGTAGCTACTCTTTTGACTGTTTGATCTTATGATATTAAATACATTTATATGCCATATAGCACAACCAGGAAGGAACTGTGAATTAAAGGGCTATAATTCCATCAAGGGGTTCTTATGACATCAACCAAAAAAGCAAAGTGCATGTAGTTTGTTTAGCAATTCAAATACTTTGATAGAATTGAAATCTTACAATTCATACTGCGATACTTTAATTTACGTAAGACACAGCAAACTTGTAACTTTTTGCTGCTCCACTACACTCAAACCCCAAAACAGTTTCTGCTAGTCGGGCTTTCTATAATACCGATCTGTACCTACCACAGGTGCTATAGAAAACCCTAAGGGTATGTCTACATAACAAGCTGGATCCCACAGCAGTGAATCTCAGAGCCTGGATCTACAGACTCAGGCTCGCGGGGCTGGTACTATGGTGCTAAAAATAGCCATGTGATTGTGCGGACTTGGGCTCCGGAGCCAGCAACACCCCTCTCCTCCCCCCAGGCTCCAGAGCCCAGGCTCCTGCCCAAGACTGAATGTCTCCACAGCTATTTTGAGCACTGTAGACCCAGGCTCCGAGACTCACAACCACAGGATCTTGCTTACTGTGTGACCGCACTCCCAGAGACCTCCTTACTTCCGCAGAGACCATAGAGCTCAGTTCCTAAACTGATACTTTAAAGACGCAGCACAGTAAAAGAATACAATGGGGGGGCAGCTTCTGTCTCTAACAGGTGAAATCTAAGGGTTTGGCTATATGGGAAAGTTGTACGGGTCTAACTAAAAGTGTGTTCTAAACAGATTTAGCTAAATCAGTGTAAAAGGCTGTGTACACACCTTTATTTCACTCTAAACCAAGCTTATTTTGGATTAGTTTAAGTCAGTTACAAATTGGTTTAGAATAAACTAAAAAGTGAGCCACTCAAACCGAAATGAGTGTTCGCACAGGAGTTTGCACTGGTTTAACTAGATCAGTTTCAGACCAATTTAATTTAAACTGGTGCAACTTTATTGGGTAGACAAGGCTTAAAATTTACAGGCATGACATCATACCTCATACTGTGAATAAAAAAGATTTGGTGGGTGGAAGGGAGGACTTGGAATAAGTGAGGATAGCTGTATGATCTAACCTTGCAAAATTTACACAGGGTAAATAATTTTTTAACAAGCAAATAAACTACCATTCAATCACAATGGTTTAGACTGAGCAAGTAAATTTTGTGCTGGTGCTACTAAATAGTAATGGACATTTTGCAAAGCATGATTAATATAACAGGTTTGTGCATTCATCATTTGAATGCACATGTTATGGTACATCATAAAGTAAAACTTTACAGAAATATGTTTCTGGTTTGCACGACTGAGGTGCTTATTTTCTTAATAATTCCACAGGTTAGGCATTCACATCTTAAAGATGAATTCCTCTAAGTAAAGTGGTATTTATGGGGTGTCAGAAGTGCCATGGTTCACACTGCAGTGCTATGCCTTTGTACATAGTAACATCGACACAGAGAAAGACAAGCAGTAAATTACTGCTGCAGCTTTCTGGGCAGATTAAGGTCCTGTGAAATGGTGAAAAGCCTGCTGTACTTTCATAGGAATAGATACTGACCACAAGGGCAGTGGGGCAAAAACAGAACACAGACAATCTATTCTGCATCACCATTCTAAAAAACAACCCTGGTTATAATAAATGCCCTGTGGTTGTACTCACTGTGATCTTAAGAATTTTGATTTTGCAGAATAATTTTTTTCTTCCATCAACCTAGTCTGGTACCACTCAGAAGGCTAAGATAACTCCTTATGTTGCACTAATGCAGCAAGGAGTAAGGAAGATTTTACATTTGGGCAAATGACAATGTAGGATATTTCCCTAGAACACAAATGAGTATTAGGAAGGGGAAACAGCTCATCTACTTCTGGCCCCCTTATTCTCTAGCCAGCTGCCATAGGCATTATGGTCAACACCACATGCAAGCAATTGGCAAACCTTTTCAGTGCAGCAGTAAAAGTAATCCCAGCAGTGCTTCCCCCAGGTCTGCCCAATAGAACCTTGCCTTAGCTAATACTGTACATTTTCTTAGAGCAGAGAATCTGCAAGACACTCAGGCTCCCTTCAGCAGTGCCAATCAAGACAGAATTATGAATTCCATGCCAGATGTGTGTATTACTAATTGAACATATTTTAAATATTATGTAAACACCTACTTATGAAAAACATTCCCTTAACTATTAGCAGGGGTGGGTATGTGGTGGAGGGTGAGGGAGTGGAATGTTTCGTTTTCATATGTCTACAACTTCCACATGTAACGTAAACATTTTCAATTTCATCTGGATTTGAAAAATTGTACTGATTACAGAAAAAGGAAGTTATTACAATGTGTGTGAAAAGAAATAAGAGATACATTTGTTGGCTGAACTTTAGAGGGCTCTCAATTAAATTTGTTACTTATATGATTCACTGGAGGGTGACAGTTCTTCCTCATGGATGGGCCTATTTAGATTATGTTAGGAGGACTTTTTATTCCATCACCTTGTTCTTCAAAGACAGATTTATCAAGTTTGAAGTGAGACAATTCAAGGGAGGTTTTCTATGTTCATGTAAGGTCTAATATGTTTCAAATTGCACAGCAAGATGAGCTTAAATTCAGTCTTGGAACTCATTAGAATGTTGGGTGAATAGTGTCATCCAAATGTCCTAGCCAATATCTTATAATCTTGACATCCTACATTACAATTCTGCTCACAGCCAAAATAAGGTTAGTTAGATGACATGAGATGTCTGATTCTGGGAAGGACAATGTGCAGTGTGTGCACTCAGGTTAAAGAAGAAACAGTGATTACTAAGCCCCTCACATTTGGATATGTCAAGTTTACTCTTTTCACGGGCAACTGAGAGACCTGACCAGATTGCAAAGAACTTTTTTTTTTAAATGGATTGTTGGTTATTTAAGTGATGGATAAAAGAGAAATAAAACTGGCCATATCCTCAGCAGAATAACAAATGCTGATTTGTTAGCTGCTCAGTCATTGAAAAAAATCCCTGAAAATAAATCTCAGCAGCTGAAAACCTGCCTTTTATTGGACTTTTCATCAAACTGAATCCTTAATAGATTGTTTTAATGCTCAATAAATAAAATTAAATGACTGAGCATATCCTGATTCATTCTAAAGATTCCAGGTTAGTATTTTAGTTCCCAGTCCCAATATTTAAATCAAGAGCATAACTTCCAACAGCTTCAATGGCACAAGATCAAGTCCTCAGAAGGTGTATAGAATCGATCTGACAAGCAGATCTCCGTATGCAGAACTACCTGCAGGTTCTAAGCTTTTGGTTCTAAGCGCAAACTTTTGTAAATGGTGCCCAATCCAAGAAACTGATCTGTGTTTAAATGCCACTTGGTGTGGAGCATGCACATATTCCTGCAGGTAAAGCTTTGAAGCAGATCAAATTACAACATAATCATAAGGGGCAAAAAATCTAAACTGACAACACAAACAAAAAAATAATATAAAACTCTTTTGAATTGTTTTAAAATATATTACCCTCTGAAAGGTTAGCGTGTACAAAGCAAATGAAGACTGTGTGCCTACACAGTACGTAAGAGTTACTTACTTCTCCCATCACTTCAATGATGTCACCAACTTTTAACTCCAGCTCATCATCATTCTGAGGCATGTAACTGAAAGCCACCTGACATCTTCTCCTCCTATTTCTCTCCCCTAGATGGAGATGAAAGAATAGAGCAAAATATTTAGATGAAAATTTAAATAAAATGAGGCTTCCTGAACAAACAACCCAGCTACACTGTGCCCCTGAACACACTCCATGGGACAGCACTGAAGATGAATTGCACTGTCTAAATGAGCACTATTCAAAACTTTTTGAATGTTTGCAATCCCTAATAAATGTGCCTAGGATCAGTTTACAAAAAAAAAAAAGACTAATATTCAGATTTTTTCAGAGGACCACAGAGCATATTATTCCTTCGAACTATTTTTGTCTTTTGATGTAAATTGATACAATGAGATATTCAAGTAAGAATAAATGGCCTTTCTTCTTCTTCTTCTACTTCTACTACTGCTTCTGCTTGCTCTCTCTCTCTTTTTTAAATATCAGTGCACCAGTAGGCTCATCTTCTGTAGATATATATTTTTAAATGGCATATTTGTGCACTATTCTAAATTTAGGGTGTTGATTTAAATGCAGCCAGGTAAATGGGACGATTCAGTTTTGGAATATTGCTTGCTAAACAAACAGCTCAGTATCTATCGATATTTGGACTTTTTTGTGGAACTGAGAGGGAAAGAGAAAACTTTCTGTAATTTAGCTGCTGAAACATCCTACCCACCCTCTTCTGGTTAAAGAGCCACCTAGCAAAACAAAGAATAGTAACAGCATTTTGCATGTGGGCATGATGGAGATAGAGTGATAGAAACCAAGTAAAACACAGCTCCCTCTGTCATAAATAAGGAAATTTCTTGTTCACATGCCTTGCAATGCAGGAACCATACCAAATACCATATGAAAAAACTGTCAATACATTTCTTCACTTCATGAGTAATTTGTTTACTTACAAACTGAAATATTAAATCTCCTCAAATTCGCACACACAAATCAGGTGTGTCTTCATAATTACTGTCCAAATGCCCCTAGACTTCCATTTCAAAAAAAGTCATGCAGTCAGTATGATGTTTACTGTACAAAAATACTCATTGACAGTACTAGAAATGCTCCTTAGGACAAATGAATGAGAAAAGTCATATAATTGATGATTCTCTTTTTTTCAGTTTGGAAAGCTGGTCTTTAAAAAGAAAAAAAGGCAGGGGGAAGTCCCACGCAGACAAATATGAAAGGCAATTTTACCTTCACTAGATGACTTAGCTTTTAAATATTCCCATCTTGGGCTTTAGGAGAAAGTTTCCCTTGTCTTTGAGGTATAGTATAAACAGCAGATGACTATTTGAATTTTAAAAAAATTAAAATATATTTTAATGCAGTTGACCTAACTATCTCATAAAATGTTAAGTTTATTTTTCTTCACTTACACAAAAATGTTAAGTTAAGTTTATTTTTCTTCACTTATACAAATAAAAAGTATTGTGTGACGATGATGATTTCATTAGAGTGATTTCTGGGCGGTATCCTAATAAATACATTCTGTATAGAATGCCTTCAGGACTGTGCAAAAATTAGAGGCTGCAAATAAAAAACAGACTTTTTTCTAAAGATAAACATACTCATTATATGAATATCAGCACTTACAAAGTGGTAACTGTTGACTGATTTGACAGACTGAAGTATGTCAGTTGCCACGGTATTTTATAATCAACATTGGGTGACTCAAGGATAAATGATTTTGACATTTCTAAGGGCTGGTCTACACCAATGCGAGGAGCCTAGGTAACAAAATGGAGGAACCAGAGCTACTGGTGCAGGAAGTGAAACCAGATATGATAGGGGTAACAGAAACATGGTGGAATAGTAGTCATGACTGGACTACAGGTATTGAAGGGTATGTGCTGCTTAGGAAAGACCGAAATAAAGGTAAAGGTGGTGGAGTAGCACTGTATATCAATGATGAGGTAGAATGTAAAGAAATAAGAAGCAATGGAATGGATAAGACAGAGTTCGTCTGGGTAAAAATTACATTGGGGAAGAAAACTATTAGAGCCTCCCCTGGGATAGTGCTTGGGGTGTGCTATAGACCACCGGGATCTAATTTGGATGTGGATATGGATAGAGTCCTTTTTAATGTTTTTAATAAAGTAAATACTAAGGGAAACTGCGTAATCATGGGAGACTTTAACTTCCCAGATATAGACTGGAAGACGAGAGCTAGTAATAATAAGAGGGCTCAGATTTTCCTAGATGCGATAGCTGATGGATTCCTTCATCAAGCAGTTGCTGAACCGACTAGAGGGGATGCCATTTTAGATTTGGTTTTGGTGAGTAGTGAGGACCTCATAGAAGAAATGGTTGTAGGGGATAATCTTGGTTCAAGTGATCATAAGCTAATTCAGTTCAAACTGAACGGAAGGATTAACAAAAATAAATCTGCTACTAGGGTTTGGATTTCAAAAGGGCTGACTTTCAAAAATTAAGGAAATTAGTTAGGGAGGTGGATTGGACTGAAGAACTTATGGATCTAAAGGCAGAGGAGGCCTGGGATTACTTCAAGTCAAAGCTGCAGAAGCTATCGGAAGCCTGCATCCCAAGAAAGGGGAAAAAATTCATAGGCAGGAGTTGTAGACCAAGCTGGATGAGCGAGTATCTCAGAGAGGTGATTAAGAAAAAGCAGAAAGCATACAGGGAGTGGAAGATGGGAGGGATCAGCAAGGAAAGCTACCTTATTGAGGTCAGAACATGTAGGGATAAAGTGAGACAGGCTAAAAGTCAAGTAGAGTTGGACCTTGCAAAGGGAATTAAAACCAATAGTAAAAGGTTCTATAGCCATATAAATAAGAAGAAAACAAAGAAAGAAGAAGTGGGACCACTAAACACTGAGGATGGAGTGGAGGTCAAGGATAATCTAGCATGGCCCAATATCTAAACAAATACTTTGCCTCAGTTTTTAATAAGGCTAATGAGGATCTTAGGGATAATGGTAGCATGACAAATGGGAATGAGGATATGGAGGTAGAGATTACCATATCTGAGGTAGAAGCGAAACTCAAACAGCTTAATGGGACTAAATCGGGGGGCTCCAGATAATCTTCATCCAAGAATATTAAAGGAATTGGCACCCGAAATTGCAAGCCCATTAGCAAGAATTTTTAATGAATCTGTAAACTCAGGGGTTGTACCGTATGACTGGAGAATTGCTAACATAGTTCCTATTTTTAAGAAAGGGAAAAAAAGTGATCCGGGTAACTACAGGCCTTTTAGTTTGACATCTGTAGTATGCAAGGTCGTGGAAAAAATTTTGAAGGAGAAAGTAGTTAAGGACATTGAAGTCAATGGTAAATAGGACAAAATACAATATGGTTTTACAAAAGGTAGATTGTGCCAAACCAAGCTGATCTCCTTCTTTGAAAAAGTAACAGATTTTTCACACAAAGGAAATACAGTGGATCTAATTTACCTAGATTTCAGTAAGGTGTTTGATACGGTGCCACATGGAGAATTATTAGTTAAATTGAAAAAGATGGGGATCAATATGAAAATTGAAAGGTGGATAAGGAATTGGTTAAAGGGGAGACTACAATGGGTCATACTGAAAGGTGAACTGTCAGGCTGGAGGGAGGTTACCAGTGGAGTTCCTCAAAGATCAGTTTTGGGACCAATCTTATTTAATCTTTTTATTACTGACCTCGGAACAAAAAGTGGTTGTGTGCTAATAAAGTTTGCAGATGATTCAAAGCTGGGAGGTATTGCCAATTTAGAGAAGGACTGGGATATCATACAGGAGGATCTGGATGACCTTGTAAACTGGAGTAATAGTAATAGGATGAAATTTAATAGTGAGAAGTATAAGGTTATGCATTTAGGGATTAACAACAAGAATTTTAGTTATAAGCTAGGGACGCATCAATTAGAAATAACGGAGGAGGAGAAGGACCTTGCAGTATTGGTTGATCATAGGATGACTATGAGCCGCCAATGTGATATGGCCGTGAAAAAAGCTAATGCGGTCTTGGGATGCATCAGGAGAGGTATTTCCAGTAGAGATAAGGAGGTTTTAGTACCGTTTTACAAGGCACTGGTGAGACCTCACCTGGAATACTGTGTGCAGTTCTGGTCTCCCATGTTTAAGAAGGATAAATTCAAACTGGAACAGGTACAGAGAAGGGCTACTAGGATGATCCGAGGAATGGAAAACTTGTCTTATGAAAGGAAACTCAAGGAGCTTGGCTTGTTTAGCCTAACCAAAAGAAGGTTGAGGGGAGATATGATTGCTCTCTATAAATATATCAGAGGGATAAATACCAGAGAGGGAGAGGAGTTATTTAAGCTCAGTACCAATGTGGACACAAGAACAAATGGATATAAACTGGCCACCAGGAAGTTTAGACTTGAAATTAGACGAGGGTTTCTAACCATCAGAGGAGTGAAGTTTTGGAATAGCCTTCCAAGGGAAGCAGTGGGGGCAAAAGATCTATCTGGATTTAAGATTAAACTCAATAAGTTTATGGAGGAGATGGTGTGATGGGATAACATAATTTTGATAATTAACTGATCTTTAAATATTCATGGTAAATAGGCCTAATGGCCTGTGATGGGATGCTAGATGGGGTGGGATCTGAGTTACCCAGGAAAGAATGTTCTGTAGTATCTGGCTGGTGAATCTTGCCCATATGCTCAGGGTTTAGCTGATCGCCATATTTGGGGTCGGGAAGGAATTTTCCTCCAGGGCAGATTGGAAGAGGGCCTGGAGGTTTTTTGCCTTCCTCTGTAGCATGGGGCACGGGTCACTTGCTGGAGGATTCTCTGCTCCTTGAAGTCTTGAAACCATGATTTGAGGACTTCAATAGCTCAGACAGGTGAGAGGTTTTTCGCAGGAGTGGGTGGGTGAGATTCTGTGGCCTGCGTTGTGCAGGACTAGATGATCATAATGGTCCCTTCTGACCTTAATATCTATGAATTTAAGTCGATCTAAGTTATGCTAGTTTAGTTACGCAAGTTACATAACTGAAGTCGACATAAGTTAGATCGACTTACAGCGGTGCCTACACCGCGCTATGTCGACGGGAGAGCGCTCAGGGAGGTGGAGTACAGATGT